TCTGTAACTGGGTGCTGAACTTTCTAACAGGCAGACCCCAGTCAGTCAGAGTCCACAGCCGCACATCCAGCTCCAGAACCGTAAGCACTGGGACACCACAGGGGTGCGTGCTGAGTCCACTCCTCTACACGCTCTTCACCTATGACTGTGTGGCCCACCAGAACAACACCAGCATCATTAAATTCAGGGATGACACTACAGTCATTGGCCTGATCACTGGTGGGGTTGAAACATCACACAGAAGAGAGGTGGCGGACCTGGTGACTTGGTGTCATGACAACAACCTTCATCTCAATACAGACAAGACCAAAGAGATGATCATCGACCCAAGAACAAGGAAAAAGGAGCCGCATAAACCCCTGTATATCAATGAGATTATTCAATTCAATTCAGTTTTATTTGTATAGCGCATATTTACAACAACAAGTCATCTCATAGCGCTTCACAAAGGCAGAGACAGAAACACTAGACGAGGGTGGAGAGGGTGAAAACCTTCAAGTTCCTTGGCACTTACATCAGCGAGGACCTCACCTGGTCTCACAACACCCAACAAATGATCAAGAAGTCCCAACAGAGACTGTACTTCCTGAGAAGACTGAGGAAATTTGGCATGTCAACCAAAATCCTCAGCTGCTTCTACAGATGTACTATCGAGAGTGTCCTTACCGCCTCTGTCACGGTCTGGTACGGAAACTGCACAGCACAAGACAGGAAGGCACTCCAGAGGGTGATCAAGACTTCACAGCACATTGCTGGGGCAGCCTTCCCCTCACTGCAAGACATTTACAAAACCAGGGTCCTACAAAGAACACACAACCTCCTCAGAGACAGCACACACACAACACTCAGTCTTCACACTCCTACCATCAGGCAGACGCTACAGGAGTGTGAAGTCCAGGACCACAAGGCTGGCAAACAGGCCCTCAGGCTTCTCAGTGAATCACTCACACACTGCACATATTGTTTATTGTTGTTCTTATTGCTTTATTTATTTTAATGTGTTGTCTTTTTTAGGGAGAATGAACAGAGTAAGAGTTTCATTGGGTTGTGAAACTACCTGTCTTGCTGTGCACATGACAATAAAACTCTTGACTCTAGACTTTGTCTCCTGCGTCATTCATGCAGATTATAGCTACCAAAGTGCAAAGTCACAAAATCACGCTTGCACATATTAAAAAACTTAAAGTCCAACTTGGAGGTCAACGCAGAGAAACTTTCCTTCTCTCAGCAGATGAATATGAAAACAGCCTTCTGGCGTCATCTGGTATCATTCTGCACAACGAGCATGTTTTTGTGGGACTTGAAGAAATCGTGAAAATATTACTGGATTGTTGTTTTATTCCGAAGACTCAAATGTTTTACCAGCATCGAGTTTACTCCTACAATAAATTATGGATGGAATGGAAACGTGAACGACTCATTTTTTAAAACGTGTGATGAAGTGTGACAACGCCGCGGTCTGCTGAGTCAAACCGTAAATCTCATGAAAAACACCGTCCACCTAAAATATTGATGGCAGCCGTAAAACGGGACTAAATCCTGGCGGTGTGTGCGGCCACAAGTGGAGGGTTTTCACGAGTTCACGTCCAGAGAAACATCCAGAGACACCGCTGAGGCTTCAGATCTCAGAGCTGGATCAGGTCCTGCTCTGGTAGATCTTCCTATCTTCCCACTTTAAGTGAATTCGCTCCCAGTCATGCCTCTGTTTTCCTGCCAATTCTTCCTTCACCTCAATTGGATTTCTCACATCATTACCAGTGTTTAGTGACAGCTGTAGATTATGCTGAAAGTCGTGCTGATTTAATGAGACTTAACGACGGGGCTAGTCCTACGAGCACTGATACTAACATCTTCCCCAGATGGCAGAATGGGATATCAGTTATCTTTTAATGCCTGCTGCTGGGCTGGCAGAGCGCAGCGCCAGTGCCCTATCAGTATGCCTGGTGATGCACGGGAATAAAAGCTGGCACTGATGAGGTGAGCCAAGCATGTTTAAAATTTTAGCGAGGCCCACTAAAAACTAATGCCAGACATATAAAACCGAACGGGAATGTGACAGAAATACTGACTGGAATTAGAGGAGGCAGAGGGTGTGTCTGTATTCAGAACAAATACACACATCATGCAAGCGGCTCGCCATCTTCATCCACAAGCCACTGACGTTTCCACAAACACAGCTCAATCTTCATCAATTTGATTCTCTTTTTTTTTCTTGGTTTACTCATCCAAAGCATTGGTCAGGCATATTTCCGCACATTATTTAAAAAAAACACGTGTGGCTCAGTGTATATTCATTTTCCTTCTTTTTTTTTTTTTTGGTTATTCCACCAGAGCAGATGTGATTTTTTTCTTCTACTTCCACACAGGACAGAGGATCATGAAAGAGCTCTGCTGTTAATTCTGAGCCCAGAGAGGAAGGAGGGGGTTTTCTGACATCTTTCATAATTAAAGGCCGTAACACATGCAGGCCTCAGACTGTACATGTGGTCGCACTGTGTGGAAGTGGTAGCAGAGGGAAGACACTGGGAGAGCTCTCTCTGACAAAACAAAACTAGTTTGAGAGCATTCAATCATAGATGGATGCAGCAAACAATGACTTCACCCACTGGTTTTCACTGGAGAGGAATTGAAGCCTAAAGGATGAGTTTTTGGTTGATGCCGTCTTTTCCGGTCGGAGGAAGGAAGTTCCAAATATGGGAAGCAGAGTGGACGCAGCTGAAGCCTGATTGGTGCACAGAGTGGACACGTGCAGCATCATCGGCTGCACAGGACAGATGAGTTAAACATGTTTGACTTCACTCAGAAACTGTGTGTGTAAAGTGCATAAAAACATAAATATCTAACTAAAGACTGGACGTTGTAAAAAAAAAAAAAAGGCAGAACTACAGCGAACAATGTATTGAATTAACAAACGCTAGCGTGTTAGCAGTGATTATAACACGAGTGAATTAAAGTAATGTACACGTGACTCGCCTGTCAATCACTCCAGATCAGACATGCCAATCAAGTCAGCCCCGCCCCCAGAATGAAATCTCTCTTTGAGGCCTAACATCTACTTAATATGAGATTATTTTCCAAATTACTACCAGCACGCTCATCAGAAAGACTGAATTCAGCGAATGACACCACAGTGACTAATGGAAATAATGTGCTGACTCAGTATTTTGTGGTGTGATTTTGAATGGGAGTTAAATTCATTTGCATTTAAATTCAGTTCTAAGAACTTTATCGGCATCAAGGTTTCAAGAAATACTATTGCTAAAGCACCAAAGTACAATTTATCCACAGTAAAAGTAAACTAAACATTTGTATAACATTAAGATGAATATATAAGTTATACAAAGAATGTACAAAATGCATTGTGTGTGTGTGTGTGTGATCTCTTTTAAATGTAGTTTTTATTCTCTTTATTATTATCATTTTCTCTGAAGTCTAGCAGCTTCTGCATCATACAATCTGATGTTCAGTCCGTTAACGTCTTTAAAAACAACAGCAGCATAAATTCCTCTGCTGAATGCACTTTGGTGAATGAGTTTAAAGTCACCTCATGTAAAACGAACTGAGTCACACGAGCTGAACTTCACGAGTTCAGTAAACGTAAGATATGAAGTGGAATCACAGAGACTGTTACAGACAGACTGGATTAGTTTTACAGTGTTTTCCTCATTTAGCTTTGAGATGTTTCAGGCTGCTCTTTGGTACTGTGAGGTAATCTATTATTATATTTATAAGTCTGCGAGTGTAAAGACTGAATTCACTCCTAACCTTTGTTATGGTTAGAATAGTTTTTATCATGAGGAAAAAAACAAGCATAACTTAATATGATTAAAGACACTCAGCAAGTTTCCATAATGTCTGTTCCTCAAATTACAACAAACAAGTCTTTACTTTCTGACAATGCATCCTGGGAAATCTGCTTATACGCCACTTGTCTTTCTTATAAAACTGTTTTAATGAGTTGAGTGAAGTCTCAGCTGCTCATTTATTAACCACCATTTTATGTCACGACGCCTCATATAATGAAAACTAGACATTTAAAAATTAGACATTTTAATTAACAAAACGTATATATTTGCATAAATAAAAACTGGGAGAGATAAACTGTTTTGATTACATTCCTGTGTGATGTTCTGCTGTGTGGGGCTTGTGGGGACTGATGCTCGTTAAAGGAAGCAAAGAACATAAATGCTGAATAAGAAATGACTGTTATTCAAGACATCTATACACACGAAACAATCCCCGGCAAACTGTAGAGAAGCACTAGACTGTGTTTAGTTATTGTTATTATTGTCATCCTTCTTCTTCTTCTTCTTTGAATGAGATTTTGAAACAGAACCTAGAAGTTAAAGGTTGCACAAGAAGCAAAGACGATTTTAAGATTCGTGGTGTTTTGTTCTAACACGATGAGTCGTTTTCAAACAGCATGTTTTTACTGTACATGAGAAAAAGACCCTCAATGTGTTTGACAGACTTTAAAGTGTCCTATGGAGCTTTTAAATTGTCCATTTCTGCAACAACAATGGAAAAGAGTAAAAATAAAAAAGGATGAAACATCGCACTCATATCAGATAAAACTTTAATTCACAACACAGAAATTCATACATGTTTCTATATACAGCGCTGCACTCTGCATACTTTACATATGGAGCTCAAGATGGTTCCAAAATAATCAGAAAATAGGAATTTATTTAACTGAGTAACAGCTGATGCAGTTGGTACTGTCCAAGGCAATTAAAATATAGAATATGATGCAGCTTTGAAGGGAAAAATATCTACAAATACCTACAAATGGAATGTGTGTATGTGTGGTTTCAGTTTATTATTTACACGTGAGGTATCATTGGTATATCAATATACAGACGGAGATATGTAGCATCCAAAAGGCCATCTGGAAACAGTAAATGCAATGAAAATATAAATGGAGTCCGACATTATCCTCAATGTCCTGTCAGCTAGCGTCACATAATAAATACCATTCTTTCATTTAAAAAACAAAACTGTGATTCTTGTATTTCATATCGACACAAACTATAAATATCAGCTTATTTTATAAACAAAACACAAAGAAGGTCATAAATGATGTTGAAAGGCAGGAGAACGGTGGTTTACTGGTTCAGCAGCTGAGCCGTTCCCTGTGTGTCTGACTTGCATGTCAGCAGCCAAACAGTTCACCAGCGCCGCATGTCGGGTCGGATCCACACAAGCACAATGGACCCAGTCTCTCCCTGAGAACCCCGTGGACGATCGGCAGCTCGTCTCTGTCAGTCCCAGCCAAAGTCCTGCCCGCTCATCTGGTAGAATCGCTGGTTGAAGGGTCTGTAGAAATCTCGGAGCCTCTGCAGCACCTCGGAGGGGATCTGAGGATGAGGTCTGCCCTTGGACTTCCCCAGGCACCGAGGCCTGCTGCTGCCCTCCGGCTTCTTCAAGCACGGGAAGCCTTTAGTCTGGTTGAAGTAGAAGTGTTTGTCTGAAACGACCCTCTTCAGGCCTAAGAAGTCCTGAACTCGACCCATCTCCCCGGCTGGATCGGACACCAGCCGCTCGCCGCTCACAAACAGGAAATGAGACAGCGAGAAGTGCTGCAGCCAGTTCTCCAGGTGCTTGGCGTAGAGGCCGATCCGCACGGCGCTCCACGTGGTGTCGATCAGGCCCGTGGACGAGTTCTTCAAGGCCAGGCTCTGGAAGGACGGAAGGCCCGGGTTCTTGGAGAGAGTCTGGGTGTAGTCGGACACAGCCCTCGTCACCGGATCCCTGACCACCACGATCAGCTTGGTCCGGCAGTTCATGGTGCAGACGCGACCAGGAGCCTCTTTAGTGACGAAGTAGCTCGGCGTCTTCTCCATGGTGATCTGGCCGTCCAGCGTCCGAGGCATCAGGTTCCTGGACGGACAGAGAGAAAGTGTCAGAAAAAGAATCCCTTACAAACCTTAGAGTGGAGACGCCCACAAGTTCATGGCTTCATTAGTTGGGCTTTTTTGGCCACTAGGGGGCAGCACAACAAACATGACGTAACATTGAACTACCATAAATCCTGGACTATGAGCCGCTACTTTATTCACACGCTCTGAACGCTGCGGCTTAAACAACGATGCGGCTAATTTATGGATTTTTACGAGTTTGCCTCGAGACCAAAGTGAGGCTGAGAGCGACGAGGACAGAGAGACTGAGGAAGTGATGAAGTGATTCTGAGGCTGTTCAGCTCCTGAAGACACTGAAGAAGACGACTTTAGTGGTTTTAGTGCAGGAGGAAGATGAAGATAGCCATCAGTGACTTTTCCTGGTAGCTGCTGGAGTCTTATTTCCTTAACCAGCCGTGTTACAGGAAGTGTTCAGAAAAAAGCCTCTACGGTACGTATCTGTGGATGTTACCGCTACGCATTTAATTAAAGGTTAAAACATCTTTCTGTGTAAATATCTCATGTTCCAACATGGACACCTGCAGCTTAGAGACACCTGCAGCCTGGATATGAACACACCTGGTTTCCTGTTTACAGGTAGTGGGTGGAGCTTATATTCAGGTGGCTCCATAGTCTGGACTTTACGGTACATATTTGTCCAACAGCTGCAGGAGAACAGCAGCACTCATTCTGGCCAACTTGGGAAAGTACTCTTAGCTTTTAGCTCTGTTTTGGTCTCCACCGGCTTCTGGTTTCTCTGCACCAGCTTGTTGCTAGTTTGCTGTTTACAGGTTAAGCAAACAAATTATCGGTTAACCAGAGTTTTATTAACTGAAAACAAATGTTTGCTGGGTTTACGAGAGTGGTTCAGTGAACTTAGGAAAACTCTGACCAGCTAAACGATGCTGACGCTGTTGAGCTGATTATTTTATAACCGTTTGGTGATTCGTCACGTTGCATGTGTTGGACATCTCACAACTCCTTACATGTTGAAGCAACTAAAGCCAACCTTTACTTCCCTCCTGCCAGTTTAATTACACATGAATTCCAGCGACAAGAGCATGAAGAGATAAACACATTATACACTCTCGCCATTAAAGCGCCCCAAAATCTGAGTGATTAAAGCTCCATACAGCCGCTCTGAGTCTCGCTGTAAGTCTGCAGACCAGGACCATCCGCTCACTATGGGCCCGATGAGTCAAAACCACAAAGCCTCAAGAACCACTTAACAGCAATTTCCTACAGATTTCCTCCCCCTCTTCTTCCTGCAAAGTGCCCACCAGCCCGGCCCCTCACCCCGGCTCCCCCGCCTCCCCTTCGGGTTCCTACAAGGACTCAAAGTCTGCAGGAAGTGCGACCAGGATGGAGAGCTGCTGAGCTCAGCTAGTGTGTACAACATGTGGCTGCCAGTGGAAAGGCCTGTGCTAAATGATGTGTCACAGGGAAACATTTTGCATCCTAACCCAGTTTATATTAATCTGCAACTAAACCAATAATCAGTAACTTGGAGATTTATCTTCACAGATCGTTTCCTCTCGACTTTACACGTGTGCACCTCCTGCTCTGTGATGTTTGTAATGTTTCCTCCATTGATTTGCTGAATGCTGCCTGATGCACAGGCGGCTTTTATTTCTGAAGGTAACGTGCTGTTCAACACATCCGTCGTCTGTCCTCCTGTTTACACTGGACGGACTGCGTGAGCCAGATCTGCGGGGGATTTGGATTTCAGAAACAAACTGTTTTGCGTGACAAACGGACGATGAGCAAAGTTTCAAACAATGAAACGAAGCTGTCTGTAGTTCATTTAGTCGACACGTCTTTCAGTGTGTTACTGGAAACGCAGAGCGTTCATGTGGTTTCCCATAAAATAAACAAGTAATGGAGCATATGTGCTTTATTTGTTTCACATTGGAAGTTCTAAGTCAAAACGCCAATAAAAGGAGGCCATTCAGAGATATAAATGACATGCAGGGGAAGTTTATCTTCATTTTCCGAGTTGTTTTAGTGGTCGAACACGGGTCGGCTGATTATTAACTCTCTGTACACTCAACCGGCGGCGGCTTTAAAGGCACGTTATCTTAAAAAATCACCCAAATTACACCGTTCATCATCGAAACAAAGTCAGTGAACTACTCTGTGATGCACCAACATGTCCGGAAAATGATCCAAACGTAAGCTCAAAACTGTTTTATTTCAGTTTGTAGCAGATGTTTGATATTTACTCTGCTGCAGACTGCCCTCCAGTATGGGAATTAAACATGTAATTAAATGTGTAGTTAAATATCTGTAGGTTCTTCCAGTATTAGTAACACGTGAGCATCTTGGAAACATCTTGTAAACACTGATTCCAGTTTTTTATTTATTTTGTAAACTAAATAATGAAAGAAATGAAGTTCTCTTATTTTCCTTTGGATGATTTACAGCATTCTAACTTTCTCTCTCCTTCTTCATGTATTGCAGTAAAAAAAAAAAAAAAAAGAGCCCACAGTGAAGAAAAAACACCCAGAAACACTTCAGAGTGTTAAAAAGCAGATGGTAGTTTTCATGAAGTACGGCTGTTAGTCTGAAAAATGAACACTCCTGTTTGTCTCACTTGACTTTCATGATGTAAACCCACATTATGTGTTTTTCTCTTTTCATGTGAGGGAACTAAAGTCCAGCGAAGCCCGACTTTGCCCTCAAACAGTTTTAAAATACACAAAGCAGCAGCCAGGAGTCGGTCAACTGCAGTACGGTATATGTTTTCAAAGTTTCCGTGTGTAATCATTTGAATTTAAAGCCCCATAAACCTGCATTAACAGAAGCCTTTGTCCACACTGAGGGAGCTTAACAAGCCATGAAGACAACACTGGCATGTCTTCACCTGATGCAGTGTCAGGAAGCAGATTCAGCAGCAACGTTCACTGGGAGTTGTGTTTACAAATGAAATAAAAGGCTCCTTTTAGCTCCGTTTTGGTCTCCACCAGGTCCTGAAGAAAGCTGCTGTTTATCGATTTAACCTCGTGTTTCTATAAAATAATGACTGGGGCAGTTTTAACCCTAAATTATGTGATTTTTGCACTTTTTTTTGTATGAGTTCATCAATGTGCCACATCAGCATCTGTGTTTTTATAGTTCTAAATACACCAAACGAGCCCTTTAAAGTATCCACAGGCACACATACCATCATGCTTCTACATTTCTATATTCACATCTGCACCTTTCTTACTGTACTTTTAAAAACGTCGTCTGACCAGGACCACTTCTATTCTATTTCATCCTAAATGCAGGAAAAGAAATTCCTGTTGAGCTGTAATAGTTAAAAAAAAAAGTGTCCTTGAGTGTGCAGGAAACTTCCTGAGCAAGTCTTCCTTCTTTACTTAAACTTAAGCCATTTGAGTCCGCCCCCATTAAATGATCCCCATAATAAAAGACCATTAATTGATTACTGTCTAATTGCGAGCGCTCCAAATGGCCTATCGCTGCCTGCCTGTCCCCTGTTTATCTGCGTCTGATCAATACGTCTGTCTCTGTATGACAGATAGCGCTGGGTGTATGTGTGTGTGTGTGTGTGTGTGTGTATCAGGGTGTTTTCGCACACACACACACACATCTGAGCTGAGAGGTGTCGGCGTTTACTGATGAGAAACTGAGCTCCCATCATCCCCTCCGTCACCCGCAGCCTTGGGTTTGTCCTTCGCATAAGTGACACTTCAGTAATTGACCATAAGTTGTCTTTCCATATTCATGAATAGTTAATGAGTTGTGGCTTCTGCTGCCCCCACTCTGCTCTGGTCCCTACCTCCCTCATCACTACCACTGTCATTACCAGAGGATCGATCAGGGCCATTTTCTATCATAAATCTGTCTCTGCATGTCGCCTCATTAAAAACTGTAAACACATAAGCGATGATTAATTTGAAATATCTTTTACCTCTTTTCTAAAACTACCCTTCAGTGTCCTGTTGTTGTCTGTAAGTGTGCAGAGGGAGGAACTGGGGGCACAAAGATGTTTTCTATTTAGCCTGGTGCTGGAATGCCTCGCTGACTAGCCGCACTCGTCTGGAACTCCCCGCTGTTAAAAGGATGTAGCGCTTTTCCTCCCCGAAGTGCTGCAGAGCTGATTACTCCTCCGATATGTTCGAGGCAGTCTGGATCAGAAGATTAAATAAAAACCCTGGCAACAAGGATGTGGCCAAGAGACTTCCTGCCCCCAAGATTATGGGCTCTCCTGCTGAAGCTGTGCAGCTACATCCCCTGTAGCGTCCAAACAAAAGCCCCGAAAGTGGAGCCGATTGTAGGAAAGAAGAAAAAAGAGATCCAAAAAATCCAATTATCATGTCAGTCTCTCAAGCAGAAACAGATCTAAAATTCCACGGGTTATTATAGTCATTTACTGGGCCATCTACGCTAAACACCGACTTCTGCGTTGGCAGGCGTCTCTGCATCCAAAAGCGTTCTCAGCCGAGGCCCAATTAAAGAGGTGGTGGAAAATCAAGGCAGTAAAAATAAGAGAGAGCGCAAATGACAAACTGAGGGGAACATTTCCCAGCGGCGCTGTTGTGCTCGGAGGGTGACAGAAGCAGCCTGAAGGCCATGGACCGGCTCAGCGGATGAGCGTGGGAACCTCCATCACGCCTCCGCGCCTCCATCAAGTTGTGAGATAAAACGTGTGTTAATGGTTGAAGTTTTGTTTGCTTTCAACAGGAGTGTTGCAGAGAAGCTAACAGACACAAGAGTGGCGTAAAACTGCAGCGACAAAGCTTAAAGCTTCACCGTGACGACACATGAACACACAGCCGACCCACTACAGAGGCGCCGCCGCTGTCGCCTCGCTGTCGCCATGCTCCTCGTCTGAACAGAAACCTGAGAGAGTGTCACATGCCAAAGCTGCAAAGAAACACAAATTAATGTATATAAAGCTAAATTTGGCCTCAGGAGGAGCCCTAACATCACAAAAACATACATTTCCAACCAGCAACATACTAAACAGCTACACAAGCA